TGTCATCAATATTATCCTATTATTCAATAATCTATTAACATTATAGGTTCTTTCATTAATATAATGTTTTCATTTTCCTAATAATATAACAAATATTCAGAATTAATAAATAACAAAGAAAAAATATCTTTCCACGTAAAACAAGAATAATCGAGAAAAGACATTTACTAATTAAACTTTGAATATAAAAACTATTAAGAAATAATTATTTAACAGGTATTTTCGTCTTTTCAACTTAAATATAATAGAAAACCTAAACAGGAACATAAGAATGGTGGAGAAAATGTCATTTTGAACTTGATGGGTGAAAAGTTGTGATTCATCAAACCTTGGTAGTGCGCAATGTGTTTGCCCTTTCTGGGGTGGTTGGAAACATGGTTATCAAATCGTGCTTTGTATCGGTATCGAAAACTAATTTTTTGAATCGTGTACGGTAGTGTATCGTTAGCGTATCGTAAATACGCCTTTTTCAAACAAGAATAAATAATAATCAAAATTTTCTAAAATAATATCTAATCCCCAAGATTAATTAAAGAATTTTGTGGTATTAGTTGACTTTACATTGCAGTATTGACATAATCAAAATAATCATAAAATTTCAAGATTAAATTATATATTATATCTCCACTTATATTTGTTATCATGTAAAATGGGCAATATGTCACTCTTCACTTTTCTTCATTGCAACAAAGGTAATTTGGACAGGTTTTAGTGAACTGGGTTGGGGCTTGGTTGGTTTGACACAGATTTTGTTTTTTTTGGACGTGTGGCCCAAACTAATAACAGTCTATATGTTTTTTTGTTTTTATCGATATTTTTAGGGATACGAAGGCATACGATGAAGTAGTAGGATACATACAACATATCGATAGTTAGGTTCACTCTTGAACGATCGTTGGCGACTATATCGAATTTATGTATGGATACGTATGGGATGTAAGATATACAACCATGGGTTGGAAATATTAACTGTCAGGACTTCATTATATAAAAGGTACAATACCCAAGACACCTTCCCCGTAATAGTTACAGTTTTGCTTAAAAGTATCCACTTGGGGGTAAACTCTTAAAGGGGTCGTATGGTATGACGATGCGTTTTATGGAGGTGGGGGGGGCACAATGTTATGATACAGACAGGCCTCTATTTAAATGCAACTTCTGACTCATGATGACATAGATAGAGCGATTATTGCATGAAAAAATATATAAAGGAAATAAAAAATACACTTAATGATCCTAACTCCCCAAAATACTCATTAAGTCATCCAGAAGAAAAAGAGTAAACGACATATTCCCACCCAAGGTTTGACAAAATCTCAAGTTGGTACCCCAGGTTACATTTATTCTAAATTCCCACCCTTAAAATAACAGTGTTAGCAATTTTTAGGGTTTAGAGGGTGCAATTATCATAATGCCCTTAACCCTAAATTAATAAATTATTTTTAACCCCTAAATTAGTAGAATTATAAAACTTACCATTTTATTTTCAAATTATGTCAAAAACACCCTCGGTCACTACACACCCTCATCGAAAATAGCCTGATTTGGGTTGTTTCCGACGGCGTCGAACTCCGTGGTCACCTCTATCACCTTCCACGTAGTCCGTCATCCAAAACCCCTCTGGCTCTCGACTCATAGGCCCCTCCAATCGTTGGCGTCATTAGGCTTAGTGTTTCGATATTCTTCACTGGATTCCGGTCGATTTCGACGGCAAAAATCCAATTGGACACCACCATTGCAACCACCGTCTCCAAATCTATAAAACCCCATGTCGCCAGCAACCGTTTCGTCATCGTTTGCCGATCGAGAGTTCATGTTCATTAGCCATTTTTTGGTGAAGTGGTGGACGGCAAACAGTGAGCTGTCGTGGCTAGGAAGGTTAGGGGTTTTGTAGGGGACGATGCGAGGAGTCAAATGGTGGTGGTGATTGGGGTTTTCGCCGTTCAAAACGGCCAGAAACCAGAAAAAACCAGTCGCATGTTGCAGCTACCGTGGTTGACGATCGGTGAGTGATAAGGGGTTGTGAAGGGTATGGTTTTGTAGAAGGGAGGATAGGGGTTCAAATGGTGGTGACAAGGGTGATTTTGGGTGGAAGAATCGTCGAAAAAAGGGTGAAAAACGTCGGGGACACCGTCTGCTAACGTGCGTCGAATGACTGTTAGAGGCAGCGGTCTGCTAATGTGTGTCGCCCACGTAAAATGACGAATTTACCCCTTTACCATTACATCAAACATTTTTCTGTCACTTTAAGAGTGAGAATCTGGAATAAATGTAACATGGGGTACCAACTTGGGATTTCATCAAACCTTGGGTGGGAATATGTCGTTTACTCAAAAGACAAATAAGCAACCACAAATTTCAATTACAAAATACAAACCTAATCACAAAGGAAAAAGAAATGTATATCAGAAACCACAATATTCCATCCAACATTTAAAAACAAAAAAAAAAAAAAATATTAAAAAAAAAAGTTTCAACTTAACATTTAACAACTAAAGTTGCCAAACAAAAACTAGAGAAAATCAAAAAATTACAATCTGCTTGAATCGGAAACAATATCCCCAAGCAAAAGCCCATAAAGCATTCCTCCAATCGACCTGATCCTAAACCAGAACCAAACTTGCTCTTCTTAGGTGGTTGTTACGCTGGCAGATACGTATATCTGGGCTGACTCGAATACCCATAAAATGGAGGAGGTGGCAGTTGCGTTGCCGCAGTAGAGAAGAGAGGGAAAGATAGCAGTGGATGGAAAGAAGAAAAGAGAAAAAGAAATGGTCTGTTATAAATGAAAGGATTAATGGAAGGAAGTAGAAAAATGAAGAATGAGAGCAGTGGCAGTTAGTGATGGCAATGGGCCGGGCTAGGATCGGGTATCCCTTGGCCTAGGCCCAAGCCCGACCTCATGACAAAGGCCCAAGCCCAGCCTGAGCCCATCACGGGTATGACAAGTAAAGCCTAAGCCTGATGGGCCCGGATATGACAAGTAAAGCCCAAGCCTAGCCCGATGGGCTTTTTGTAACCTCAAACCCGGCCCAAGCCCGCCCATTTTTGTGAATTTTTAAATACTAATAAATTTCAAATTTTTTTATATTTTTAATTCTAGAAACAATTTGTAAATATTAATTTATTTTCTAATACTCACCAAATATATAAATAACTTTCCATAAAGTGCATCCATCCATTCATGTAGGGTTTGGGAAAAATGAGTATATATATGTAGGATAATCTTGTAATTAAATATATAGTATAAGGGTAATTTAATATAATTAATACTAAAATTGTCGGACCGGGTTTGAAGACATACCCAGGCCTGGCCCGTACCCAAGGTCGGGCCTTAAAATCAGGTCCAGGCCTAAGCCCAAGCCCGCGAACATCAGGTAAAGCCCGACCTTTTTGGGACGGGACGGGCCGGGTCGAGTACCCGAAAATATCGAGCTCATTGCCATCTCTAATGGCAGTGGGTTAATATGAGAATGAGATGAAAACCTTAAATATTTTTTTTGTGTGGGTACCCGCAGGCACCCATGGGTATTACTCGGTCCACCCATTATTTTTACAAGCGGGTCAGATACGGGTAATTATTATGGTTACTTGTACCTGCCTGTTTTACTCGGGTACCCGTAAACCTGCATGTACGGGTGCAACTTTGCGAGGTCTATTAACAATTAGGATCTCCTGTATTCTAAATTTAATTATATTACATCAACTTGAAATATTTAAAAAACAGAATATGGGATTAATTTAATTTATAAAATCCCTTAAAATATGATATTCCATATGATCTTTCCATTGCAAAGTCAAGGTTGACTGGTTTTGGTATTTCCCCATCCCATAAAAAGGAATAGAGCAATGCTGGCCTTACTCCCCTTTCTTATTTCTTTCCCTTACTTACTCATGTGGTAGGTGGGTGTAAGAAGAGAGAGAAGAGAGTAAGAAAGGAGATTAACATGAGTGAATAAGAGAAATAAGTAAGAAGAGAGAGTAAGACTAGCATTATTCAAAGAATATTAACAACTCTTGCAGTTTTTGGTTCAATTTTGTTTTTGACTTTTGGTTGGCAGTCACCCAAGCAATATTTTCCAAAATGAATTAATACAGTTCGCTTTCTTCATCAACCTGGCTAATGGGTCTCAAGTCTCAACCTAGTACTCACATTAAAAGTTGAAATATTAACCAAATAATGGCTTAATGACATTTTTTTATCCATAAACTTTTAATATTTTCCAAAATGAATTAATACCATTTGCTTTCTTCGTCAACTTGGCTAATGGGTCTCAAGTCTCAACCTAATACTCACATTGAAAGTTTACATTAACCGAATAATGGCTTGATAATATTTTTTTCATTCACAAACTTTTAAAATACCACTTTATTACTAGAATTTATATTCCATTTTCGATTCTAGTATCGTTGCAACTCCACACCATTACCATTCTCTTTCCTAATCATCACTTATTAAAACCCCTCAAACCTTACTCCGATTGACTCTCCCAATCGCTGGCAATCAAACGATTAAAGTTTACGCAATCACCTCCCTTAAGTTAAATTCTGATCAATTACAATTAGTTAACTATCAAAATCCAAACTTTCCACTACCAAATGATTCATTGTTCTCCCCTCTTCAAAAGTTCCAATATCTTAGACCAGATTTATTTTTGGTTTACCGTTTAAATATAAATTTAAATAATAAAAGCTTAAAGTGGTATTTTAAAATTTTATAAATAAGAAAATATTATTGATCCATTATTTGGATGAAAAATAGTCGTCAACTCTAATCTAAAACACAATTAATTATAATCATTCTAACTTTCAAACGAAGAAAAAGACTTTGATAATAACGAAAAATTAACTCCTGTCCAATTCATTAGATTTGTTTAATCTCAGTTTCAACAATTTAATCAAATAAATTATACAATATCCAAATACTTACATCACAATCAAATCCGCCTAACTTAAAAAAATAATCTTTATCAGCCGCCAGTGCCACCGCCGCATCCCATCTATCTCGGCCCCAGAGAATACGTTATGTCGCTAGGAGGTTTAAATTTATCCACCCAAACCCGAGAATCCAAATACAACTTCGAAATCTTCCGCGACACGCGTCCCATATCTGGCCGCTTATCAGGATCAACATCAGCGCACTCCAATGCGACACGTATCAACTTCTCTGCCACATCGATCGGAAAAGAATCCCTAAGTCTTTTATCAATCCACTTCCTTAATCTCCCCTCCCTTCCACTGCCATCATCACCTCCGTTCATCGCCAATCTAGCGGTTTCAGTCACCGAAGTTCTCATGAATTCGCCACGTGACTTGTCAAACTTGTATTTAAAAGGCTCTTCACCTGATAAAAGCTCCAATATAACCACGCCTAAACCGTACACGTCCGATTTCTGCGTCGGAATTCCGGTCTCCCGAAATTCCGGCGACATGTAACCTCTCACTCCTTCGAATTGCATCTTCTTACTACTCGATCTCTTTAACGATACAACCGGTTCTTCCTCTATTATTTCCGATATTTCGGTCACTTTTCCGAAATCTGAACCTTTATCTCTTCTTTCAGATTCCTCCTCCGATTCTCCGCACAACTGAGCCGTGCCGAAATGACAAATCTTAGCGTTAAACGACGGCTCCGTCACTATAATGCTACTACTCTTAATATGATTATGAACAAGAGTCAAGTTCAAGCCGGTGTTATTATGAATGTAATCAAGGCCATGTGCGAGATCTGTGGCGATCTGCATTCTCGACATCCACGTGGACAATACAGTAAAATCCGGATTCTTTGAATTTCTCAAACAATCAGATAAATTTGCACCGTTGATGAATTCATAAACGAGATAAATATAATCATCAGATATAGAAGCGCCATGTAACTTGATGATGCTGCTGTGGTGGCTCCGACAGATCACCGATAATCTCTCTTTCAAATGCTGCATCTGGAGTTTTCGACAAAACTTGCGTTGGAAAATGATGACGTCACGGCCGCGCAAGTTGCAGCGCCAACAGTTGGAGGAAGACGAAGAGTGTTTCTTCAATAAGAAATTGTTAGTGGCGGCCCGAATTTCGGAAAACCTATAGATGTTAGGGCTTTCGGAGATGGATTCCCGGAGACTGGATAAAGAAGTTCGACTTGAAATGGATGTACCTGAAGACGAAGGTTTGAATTGAGATGAAGAAGAGGTGGGGGCTGCGTATTCGGCGCTGGTTGAAGAAGTAGAAGGATCGGAAAAGTTCGGTGGAGTACGAGGGGATTGAGAGGAGCGAGTTCGGCGGGTTTGAGAGGATTGAGTGGGGCGAGTTGGGGTGGGATCGGTGGCGTGGGTTGCCATTTTCGTTTTGCACATAGAATTAGGGACAATTTTATACAAAAATGTTAGTGGGGGGTTCTGTCTTTGGAATGGACCAATTAATAGTGTTTTATCATTAGTGGGATTCACTTTGACGCGGTTGACGGTTGGAACTGGGTAAGGTGAGGGAAAGGGCAGAAAGAGAAAAGAGAAGGAAGAACCAAAGTCGTGTTAATGTGCGCACGTAAAGGAGGATGCGCATGATAGTGTCACGACCAATGAGGTTTTTTGGCGGAATTAAAAGACGATGAATGACGAAGTTTGAGGCCTGATCGGCTTACACATATCCAAGGTTTACGGTAACGATAAAGTGGTATTTAAAGTTTTGAAATAATAAATAGATATCTTTTGTCGTGTTATTAGTGATTTTCATTTGGTAATAATAAAAAGACTAAAATATCCTTAAAAGTTTGATATTTTAGTTTTTTATAAATTTAAAAATTTCTAAAAAACCTCATAGGTTTGCTAATTTAACTAAACACCCTAACATATAAAATTTTTGTAAAATCACAAAAACACCTTTACTATTCGCAGTGCCAGATTTCGGCCACTATCGTCGAAATCTAACCGGAAAATTGAGTTAAGACATAGACTTCTTCGGATCTATGTCGTAACGCGTCGATCTGGTCTTTTTCGGTCAGACTTGTCATAGATCTAGTCGAAAAAGGCCAGATCTACGTCTAGATTTGGCCGTCGAGAGTTTTACGGCCTCGACGGCCAGATCTGCCTCGACGGCCAGATCTGGCATTTTCTGACCAGATCTGGCATTTTCTGACCAGATCTATGGATCTGGCCAGAAAAGGCCAAATTGACTCGTTACGACATAGATTCAGCGGTGATGGTCGGAATCTGGTCAGAAAATTACGTTACGACACAGATCTGTGTCGTAACGTAATTTTCTGGCTAGATTTCGGTGGTGGTGGCTAAAATCTGGCACTACAGGTGGTGGAGTGTTTTTGTGATTTTACAAAAAATTTATACATTGAGGTGTTTAGTTAAATTAGCAAACTTAGGGGGTTTTTAATTTTTAAATTTATAAAAAACTAAAATACCAAACTTTCAAGGATATTTTAGTATTTTTATTATTATCAAACAGAAATCCCTAATAATATATGACGAAAAATACCTATTCATTGTTTACTTTGTCGTTACTGTAAATCTTGAGTATGTGCAAGTCGCTTGGCCGAAGTTTGAAAGAGTGACAGGCTGACACGAGTAAAAGTTTTCTTATCAGATAAACATTATTTATTAATTTATTCAATATAATTAGACTTGGTTGGAAGAATTTTTGTTCTTTCTCCAAAGGGACTGTGAATACTAAGTTGGGTATTGGCATGTGAACACCAGCCAACTTTATTTACTAATTCATAATTGCGTTGCTGTAGTCGGCCAATGAGAGAGAAAACTGAAGTGGGACAGATTGCTAGGAACTTAACTTCGCTATTGGACGCATGAAAGTTGTGGTTCAACTTTCTTTCTTTCTTTCTTTCATTAAACTAGGATTTGGGAATTGAATAATCGTCTGACTAGAGGCATTTTGGTACTCTACAAGGGCTGTCAAGTTACTTGAACGTGATTTTTGGTAATGTGAAAAGTGAAATAAAATATGACACGACACGTTTTTTGTTATGAAGTTTAGAAAATGATGTTAATGGAATCCCGGATTAGAAGNCTAATGTAAGTGCAATAGATATATTCCTAAAATTTTGAAATTCGTTTTTAAGTTTATTATTTATTTTGTTATAAAGTTTTAGTATATCTTTTCTACTTGTACTTCTACTAACAGCAGTATATGCTGGATAAAATGCAGTTTTAACCATATGAATAAAAAAAGGATTTTCAGATAAATAAATGGGAGAGTCCGTAGCAACTATATATCTTGTTATTTCCTCTCGTGCAACATGTGCATTTTATTGTCATGTTGAGAGAGTTGAGGATTGTGGATTAAAATTAAGTTGAGTTTGAATTTGTCTACCTGATCCGCTTGAAGATGCATCGGGCAACTGCATTATTTGGTGATGCTTCTTCTCCACGTGTTGTCGCATCGTCGAATTCTCCTTCTCAGCGCCAATAATGGTTCCACAAAAATTACATATCCCACACGATTCTTCCCCCTCCCCATTTGTCTTTGGCCGTTTTGATTTGGTGAAGTATCGCCATACATGGACACGACCCTCTTTGACGGTCGGGGGGGTTGGGCTATGCCCGTGCCCGTTGACTCACAGCTCGTATGTGTTTGGCTACACCTCGTCCCGACCAAATATGGTTGTGGAATTGAAGCTGCTTCCTTTTGAGAAAATGGTGAAAATGGATTGAAGCCTTCCATTTCTTCATTGGATAGAACGTAAAATTGATTTGGGGAAGCCATTATAAATTTATGATAAAATAATAAATAATTAAAATGAAAAGAAATTAAATAATAATATGAAATTATGATGATATTGAAAAATAGAAAAAAATTTGAATAATATGAATAAATTATAAATATAAATATAAATTGAATGAGAAATAATTAAAATGAGAAATTGATTGGAGATTTGGAGTAGAGAGATTGAGAGAATGAGNGGACAAGAATAAGATATGTTGGAACACAAAAGGAATAATTTCTTCGCTGTTAATCCAGATTGCTTCTGATAGTTGGTTAACTATTGAATTTTTTTTTTTTTTTTTTTTTTATCCGAGGTGTTCGGGTGTTAGGGCCAAAAATCACCCTTGGCCCAAATAGGAAAACAGGACCACCAACGAAGAAAGGGTCAGGCCCAGTCCTAGAGACCTAAGCCAAATTAATCACATTTGATACGAGATACGGCCGGCCCCAAAACATCTGGGCATGGACCTCCCAGTTCTAGCTCACTTCATGGGCTTATGTGCGAGCTCAGAGCCCATGGCCCCCACTGATCATTTTCCTGTTCCTGTTCAATCTTCTATTCGAAGTCACTTTCCTGTTCCTGGCCAGTTTCCTACTTAAAGTGACTTTCCTGTTCAGATCATCGGGTAATTCGGACGCAGGTAAGACAGCTCACCACCGCCTTAACTTTTCTAGGGTTTGCATCAGAGTTACACTCTGACTCCTACTCCTGTCAGGGTTGGGAGACAAGACAGTCACTATATAAACAGAAGCCAGTCTTCTCACCAGGGGAGCATGATTACCCCTTGACACCCGCAGTTCTTATTGCAGAGCTTCCTGTCACTGCCGTAGTCACAGTCTCCAACTAGACTTCCGGTAACCCCTCTACTCCCTAGCCTTCACTATATAAACCTCTTTAAGCCTTGCTAACTTGATCGTCGGAGTGCCTACGGCAAACACCACCCCGGTGTTTTTCGTCGCTTCACGCGTGTTTATTTACTTGTGCAGGTACAACAGATTGTTAGTGGCCTCAACCTCACAGGATCAATCCTTCCTTCCGTACCAGTAGATTTTTACATCTACATCGGGCTAGTTTATGTGTACGTCGATTAGTTTTTTAGGATTCTGAAATATAATGCTTTATTAAAAATTGAAGAGAATCGAATTTAAGGTCTCTAGAGTAATATACTCAAGAATCTTTATCGAACGGCATAATCATCCAAAGGTTAATCAAAGCATATTGACTTGTAGATTAAGTTTAACCTCTCCAACTTTTCACTAACAACTATTGACTAGTTCTATCATTTTAACTTTCCAACTGGATCATCCACACCACTTGTCACGTTTCTTTCTACAACTTCTCAAATAATTATATATTCAATTTGGATTATTATTTGAAAATTTTCTCCATCACAGGCTTTTTAAGTTTGTTAAAATCTAAATTTTATAAAATTTTCGATAAAAGGATTTTATTATTTATTATTATTTTTGAAGAACAATTCCTCTTTAAGCGCTTTAACCTAATAATATCAAATGTTTTTAAAAATTAGAACCAAACGACAGCAAAAAACTAGATTGGAGGCCGTGAAAATGACGTTGACTAATTTATAAATGTCAATTAAATAGACGCAAAAATTCTTAAAAAAATTAATTGTCGTGTCACTTTCACTTACTTGGTTTACGATTCTATTCTTACGTTGAATTATTGAATTTCCTAACATGCTGACTTTTTTAATATTGGTGATTGATGTAATATAAATTAACTTCTTATACAAAATTTCGAAGCCGAAAAATAAAAATAAAAATTAATTAAATATAACAAACATTGCTAATTGGATAATCACGAAGGACCCTCAATTAGCTTAATTAATCAAATTAATTAATTAAGAATTTTGAAAGTTATTAAAGAGCTTACATATATGGTTTTTTGACATTTGTAATGGAGTTATGAATGGATCAAGTGACTTTATAGGATTTTCAAAGGGTTTTTGATAATTTCAAGAACATCTTTAATATTTTCTGGGTTGGTTGGAATATATTAACCTTTCATACTCTAATTATATAAAAGGTACAATACAATGACACCTTCCCGGTAATAGTTATAGTTAGCTTAAAAATTACTCCACTTGGGTGAATGAACTTATAAGGTGTATAGATGATCGATTCGTTTTATTGGAGGTGGTGGTGAGGAACATGTTATGATATAGAAGCCGCATTATAAATGCAAATTCTGACTTCATTGATGACATAGGTAGAAGCATTATTGCATGAAATAATAATTAATAAAGGAAATAAAAAATAACTTAATGATACTTTTTTATCTATAGACTTTTTAAATGCTACTTAATTATCTAAATTTATATTCTATTTTTGATTTCAACGTCATTATGACACCACACCATCACCATCCTCTTCTCTGATCACCACTCACAAAAACCCTTCAAATACTACTCTCGTCAACTTTATCAATCATCGACAATTGAGCGATTAGAGTTTATACAGCTATCCCTCCCAATTCAAATTCTGATCAATTTCAATTATCAAAATCCAACATTCCACTACTAAAAAAATCATTGGTCTTCCCTTTTCAAAAGTCCTAATAGTTGGGATAGAGTTTGCTCTTTGTTTGTCATCAAGATATAAATTTAAATAATAAAATAATATTTTAAAAATATATGGGCACTGCCATTTAAACGATTATTTGGTTGAGAAAAAGTCGTTAACCGAACTCTTATAAATAAATACAGCTAATAAAAATCATAGAAGCAAACTGGTATAGTTGTATACTTGTATTGAGAATGGGTAGAATCCTTTGACCGAAGGCATACAAAATTTGACCGTTGAGTTTGCTTTTGCGGCTGCTATTGATGCAAGTCAGACGGACACTGAATTTAGTTGTTATTATCTCCAAATTCCAATGAATATTAGACATTTATTTAGACTGGACTTCATAAATTTTAATAGAGAGTTGCTACCTCTGTCCCTAAAGTCTCAGCAATATCATAATAATGTTAATGTTATCATAGTATTAAGAAAAAATTAAATAACAAGCAGAAAGTTTGTTCTATATTTTTATTCAAACATCCACCGTTGATTAATCATGGGAAAGATGACAAATACAGTGATATATTAACATGTCAAGCAAATATGATTTTGGTCATTAAAACAAGAATTATGAGGAGTTTGGATCTTCTTGGGCTGGGCTAAAGCTTAGATTCTTTTTACTGTTTGGGCAATTCACTTTGACTTCAAATAAAATCAATCAATCAAAGAGCAGAAGAGACAAAAAAATTCTAAACAGATTACTCAATAATCCTAATTCTATTTCTTTTTCCTGCTTCCTACCGTTCGCCTTTGATAATGTATAAATTTACGACTGAGGGTCCTCTTGCTTTCGATTAAATTTACGAGTACTCAACTCCTGTGACTGCATCTTCTTTGTTGTAGAAACGAAAGAGGTTTTGACCTCTTATTTCTGGCTCTGCAGCCACCCAACACAGAACGCATCAAATAAACTAAATTATGTGCTTGTAGTACCTTTATTTATATTAATCTCACAGACCTAATACTATGAGGAAAACAATATCATAAATAGGAAAACAGTTTCTATTTACAATAGAAAACGTACTAACCAACTGAGAAAAGATAAGTAAACCCATCCCTCCCAGGCATTCTCACTTTCTTTTTGCAACGCAATTCCTAATCCAAATCAAAATTTAAAAAACGAAGAAACTACTTGGAAATCCATTTTTCTGGTTGATTTTTTTTTTTTTTTTTTTTTTTTTTTGTGATAGACTAGTTTGTCTGCATCTTAACTAATCCAAATTACCTTGTGTTAGTAAAATTACTATTATAAATAAAAATCAGTTTAATCATGTTTTAAGTATAAGAAAGAGAAATATATAATTCAGATCAAACAATTAATTAGAATTTTTTCCGAGTCTAACTTAATATATATATTATATTTAATTAGGAGCTAATTCTGTGATCTAAATAAGGTTCTTTTTGAATTCAAGTTTTTGTAATAAATCCTAAGCAGAGGTAATGTAGAACAGAAATGAATTTGAGATATTGACACTTACTTCCTTTACATCTTTGCTCCCTTGGAGATGGAAATGTCACCATAAGGCTCCTTTTGCTCAACTTTTAGGTAATCACGAGTGGCAAGGACTGTACAGAGATTAGCATACTCATCTCAGTTATTTATTTGTTGACTTGTTTTAAGTTGAGGGTTAATTAAGAACGGTTCTACAAAGAAGAGGGTGGGTAACATGTATTTATACATACCACATGTCTGATAAAAGAGCATAGCTGCTCCTTTTCGGTTCAGTCCAGCAGCTAGTGCGTTCAACGATTCTTCTTTAGAGGCTCCAGGTGCGTCAAAATGTGTTTTGATATTCCTGTAGGTGTTTTAAGTCCAAGGAGGATATATTAATTGATAATCCAATTGGAAGTTACATTTGCAGAACTAATAGGAATCCAGCAGGTTTGAGATTAATCATACATTCGAATAGCATCAGTAATCTTGTCAAGAGCAGGATTGATGACAGGAAGCTGAGTTTGTGTTGGTCCAGTTTCCACAAAAAATTAGGTAGAAAAATAAACAAAGTAACAAGTCCCCTTTTTGGATAAAGAACGATTATTCCAACTTCCCTGATAAAAAACACAAAAGAAAAATTCAAGAGTTATTTACCTGGGTCTGGTGCAGAACCATTTTCAGCTAGCCTCGATAAATTGAAATCTGGTTCAGGATACTCAAATGGTTTTTTTCTGGATAGGTTCAAGCCCATTGCCACTTTGTCCAGATGAAGAAAAATGCCTTTTTTTGGTTGGACCTGTTGACAATCAGAACATCCAATCCAATAAATCATTTAGAAGCACTAGAGTCTTACGCCATGTCAGATGATAGGTCATGTACTTTCATGAAATTTAAATGTGCGTCAAAAATTATTTCAATAATCTTTTTAATTGATATAGTGGGACATTTACTAACCTGTCCGGATTGAGTTCTTGGTTGCTGTGTCAGATCCTGAGCTTTCAGACAAATACGTACTGTAATTTTAAGACAAGAAAAAACTTCTAAAATGCACCTTAATACTCATCCGATAACTTCAAGATTTTTACCAGGGAAGTGAGGTGAAGATTATAAAAAAGAACTAACCAGAATTTTCAGGTTGACCATCACATTGGTCTCATTGGCCCTAAAAACCTGGTTGCGAAAATTAGCTGTCATTTCTTCTATGATGCCTTCTGTTGTTGGTTCCCCGTTTCTTTCTATGGAAACCACCTAGTGACTGGAGCCAACTTCACTATGAATATCTTCAAAGGGCTTCACATTCAAAAACCTAAATTAGACATAGGCTTAAATGTTTTTAACAGAAGCAAATTAAAAGACTGGAGTCCTACAAATCCTGCTGGTATTGAGGTTGTACTCTCTCTTGTGCTGGTGCTGATGATGATGATGGTATTGGGAGTTGCGGTGGCGATAACGATGATGATGGATTTGGGGGTTGGGGTGGTGAGTGTTTCCTGCAATCAAAGTATAATGTGAATCTCTGTCCCTAGGTTATCTCCCAACAAGAAATATCTCAAGGGCAATTCACAAGTGAACTCTTAACTAGATGGAAATCATGACGCGGCGGAGTAATTTCTTCCAATGCTCAAGAAGAGGAGCCGGATAGGGGATTGCTTGATTTCCTTTAATAAATAAATCTTATCTGTTAATACTGTAGGTGGCAACTCGATGAGGTTAGCTATCTTCACTTTAGACAAGATATCGGGTCTTAACTGCAACAAAATGCCTAAAACTCATCTTGCATTAGGGAAAAGTTAAAAAATTCTTCTCTCATCATAGAAGAAAAAAACGCTTCATGCAACATTCTAGATGTCCAGGGTTCAGGAAAAAGAAATATTGTCCAAGATACTGGGAAGTTTAGCAATTGAAAAACAAGTCGGTGCTCATTAACCTAGGCAGAGTCACCTTAAGGGGAAAGAAGTTAGCTTTTAGATAAACTATAAATGGATAAACGGAATGAAATTGGAAAACAAACACAAACCTTCCTCTTCTTCTCTTTCTTCCGCAATATCTGAAGTATCTTGAAGCCAGGATTGGTAAATGTCCACCAGGAATAATTGTTGCTCGTAATCCATTATAAGGGCGCTGGAATTCTGTTTTTCTTTAATGGCCTTGCCTCTGTGACCATGCTTTATCCCAATCATCAAGGTTGGTCAAGCTTGTCATGTTTTTGTCATAATGTTTCACAAGGACGATGTTCCCGTAATTGATTGTTACTGTCTCTTCTTTGCTTTCATCTTGTTGATTGACATGGTGTTCCGGATGTGGTCGGGGTTCATCAACTGTTGGAAGGTTTGGAGCGAGCATAGCATCCATCTTGATTTTTCTATGCTATTTTTTGTTAGCATACACAAACCGTAGTTTTATATCTCATATTTAAGGCTTTGGCCACCATGTTCAAATTAATGTTTTTTTTACAGTTGTTAAAAATACAGTCAGCAAAAAGGAAAACATAAAAAAAAAACAAAAACAAAAAAAGAATAAACACACATAATATGAGTTGGTCATTGTTAGTGAAAGCATGATGATGGGCAATTTAATAATATCTTATTACTAGTTTACCAGATGTTAATGCAGCGATACTAGTAGACTAAAATGATATAGAGAGGCTTAGTGCAAATTGATGGGAGTCCTAACAAGACGAACCAGGGAGAAAATCGCATGATTCCGAAATTGAATATTTTAGTAAATTCTCATTCGGGATTCTAAGTTTCAGGGAAGCAACAAGTTGAGGGAAGTGGTTACCAGGCTGCTGAACTCTTTGAGGCTCATCTTGAGGGGGTGGGGAAGGTATAAAAGTTGATGGCATTGCTCCAGTCCTCTTCAATGTCAAATCTATCACACCACCGGAAAAGCATAATTATAGAATCTAAAAAAGTGAAATAATATAATTTCAAGGAAATCCCAAATAGAGGATGAAAAGAGATCACTTGAGGCTCCATGATACTCTTGAAACACTCAACTGCTTGCTTGTTCAAATTAATGTTGTTACTCATAAAATATTTATCTAACAATGGGTCTTTAACTATATAATGTGAGTTAAACTAACATCAGCAATGTTAACCTATCATGGTGGAAATCTACCTTTCAAACCGATAGAAAATGTTGTTGTTAGCTGATGGGAATCAAAACGGTCAGACAAGGTGATATTATCAACATCAACTGAAGAGAAGATAAAATGTTAGCATGAAGGGAATATTGGATTCTGGTCCAGTTATGTATGCCCATGGTGATAATTAATAATTAGGGAGGGAAAGTTAAGTTTTACAAAAATAACCTTGATGGAAGTTTTGCAACGGATCCTCCTCTCTATACGTTGTGAACATAAGTTTCATCCAAGTCCATTAGCCGCTGACACAACAATGCAAGAAATTTAAGGGTATAATATTTTTTGGCAATTATTCCACGAAAGCTTTTGAACACTAATGTCCAAAATTCATCTATTTTGGTTGGTTTATCCCATAGTTAGTGTCTCATACATGGGCTTCTACCTAACTGGGGACTCTTGAAATTGAAAGATGAAAAGCTGAGGATGAAAAATTTCTTTTATCTCTTCCGGATATCATAAAAACTCAAACAAAGCCAAAAGATTTGAAGGGACCTTCTCAAAGAATAACAAGTTTCCAAGGCATCTCCAATTTATAACAAGCAAAATTATGAAAGGATACTAATAATTGCACGTTTTTAAGAAAATTTAGTCTAAAAAACTGGGTAAGGACATTTTGGTGAACTAGATTGAAGAAGTCTTATTGACATGTAAGCTATTTCTGTTACCCCAAAAGCAGAGGAATTATAGAATTCATTTGAACTAGTGTTTGTCATCCTACACTTGAGCAAAACTTGACAGGGTGAGAGACCACATTTTATAACCCTGATCTTTAATGAGGATTTGCACTCGAGCCTTGAATACACACATAACTTTTGTTTTTTGGTTGACTATTCATAATGGGTAATGGGTTCTGATCAAACACATCTCAATCACACAAAAAGTTTCCGCAAAGTTTTAAAGTGTTTATAATGTGCTATTACAACTTAGTAACTTACCATTGCACAGAAGGTGTTGTTGGAACTCATCTCAGCGTTGGAAATTAAGGGAAGGCTCAATATCCTCAAAATCGTCTCTCGATTCTCAGGCAATGTAATAGTTTTTTTCCTTAAAACTAAAAATCACAATCAATAGCAACAACGCACATTTCTATAACAAATTAAATGGTTTTGCCATAGAGTAAATAACCAGTATGTTCATAGGTCTCTATCTGCCGTTTCAAATACAAACAAAATATTTTAACTCTGGAACAAGAAGCATCCATCACAAAGAATTGCAGAGAGTATTTGCTATGAAAATATTACCCATTGGTCGGCAATTATTCACAGAACCTAACGAATGCTTTAAGCCCGAATTATTTATTTTCAAGATTTTGATGAGACAGTCGTAAAACAAACTTATGATATCTACTTGGTGAAATTAACTAAAACATATAGTCAATAAGATTTTAAATTCTAATTTGGAACAAAGAAATGTCTCTCTTTTAACTGTATAAAGCAAACAAGAATGTCTATATATTCACCAATACTCAAAAGGTATTAGAATATCTAATTCGAGGTACCAACTCCACCTAAATGTTAAAGTAAAAAACACAGATATTATTTAACCTGTGAGTCATAATTTTTTCAAAGGTCTTTAACCTTTCATCCACATATCACATTTAACTCAAAACAATCCTTCTAATCCTTACGTGTGCTGTTTCAATTGCAATTGTAAGTTAGCTCCATGAAATGGGTCAGTTTTGTTGCCTATAGAACATCCCTTCCGCATCAGTTTCACTACACTGAATTGTATTCTAAACTTTAGTTGGTTACATGCACAAGCTGAAACCACGAAATATTTGTAACAACTTTCAGGGCTAGCTGCTTACCCAAGATCAATCAGTTGAATAACTTAACAATAATAGATGATGATGATAACCATCTGGTTGTAAAACTTTGAAACTACGCCGTTTCGTTTTGTTTATTTTTTTTATTTATTTAATGCTAAAACCAAAATGAGCTGATAGTCAAGAAGAGAAATGGTTAGTGGTTACTTGGCTTGTGATTTTCCTTTGGGGAGTACGTTGGATCTGCAGCTGCTTTTACCCATGCTTCATTCATTTCTACTAAAACCATTAATCACCGAAGTAACATAGTTCAACGACAACTAAACATTGCTACTGATAAGTGATGAACAAATTGAACGAATATATAAAAAATTTCACGAAATTTACCAGGAGTCGATTAACATCATCTGTAAAAACAAACAAACAAACAAAAAAGTATAAAAAAAGGCATTGCATATTCAAAAAGTTCTTATTCACAGATTCTAAACAGTAAGCTGAATATTTAAAAGAATTACCATAAAGGAGTTTCACTTTTCTTTCGTACACAATCACAACTCCACCTGAAAAAATAAAATAAATACGTATATGTGATTGGCTAATTTAAACGGTCGATGGAAATATGAAGTGAAAAATTAAAAACAGAGTCAATAATATGTTAATTACCCATGAGAATTCCAGAGAGTCTCAAAGCCAAAGGAACTGGTGGATTCAAAATCTCTTCACTGCAACATACACACGCATAAAAAGGAATAAAAGATTTAATGAAATTAACTGAGCTCGTAAATGCCAAACAGAGTAAGAACAAATATACAAATAAAGAAATAGCAAATTAAATAACTATAACCAGATTTGGATGATGTTAAGCTTCTCCAGCTTCTTTCGATTCATTTTCGCTCTCATAGTTGCAGCCATCCTTCATTGAAATTGAAATCATGTTCATTAAATAAAAAAAAAACAAAAAGAGAGAGAGAGAGAGAGAGAGAGAGAGAGAGAGAGATAAAATATCAATAAACTAATTAATTTCATAAAATAGAAATAAAATCACCATATCTGTCCCATAGAAGCTTTGCGAGCTAGAAGTTGTTGAGAGAAGAACATTTTGATGTCGGTTCTTTGAAACTAGAGAGAAATGTGAAGAGTTAATGGCGTTTGAAAGAAAGAATGAAAAAACAGAGCGTTTGAAAGAATGAACGAAAAACAGAGTATAAATAGAGAGATGTAGACGAGGCTAACATGCGCTGTGTGATTTTTGTTCTCTACAACGAGCTAATCATGTCTCACTATATACTCTACCCGCCACGGCACTGAGAGACATGCCCGAGGAGAGAGAAACACAAAAAATGCTTTGAACTGATAAATTCACCAGGACTTTCTGAAAATTTTCGTACTTTTAAGTCGATATGAAGACACGTGTACCATGTTGAGTAGTAGAAAGTTGGGGTTAATCGTCGTAGGTGGGTGACAATAGATAAACTTACTGCGTTAGTTATTTTCTGGGGCCCACTATATCTGATGTGGACACACGCTGCAAGCTGCTTCCTGAGCACGGAACCTTGCTATTTTTATATTTCAAGAATTTATACTGAAATTTCTTAAAAATATTTTTAATCAAGATTTATTAAGTTACTATTGTCAATCACAAAATTGAGGCACACTGAGAAGGCTGTTTTTAATAAATGATATAATTTTTCTGCATAAATAGAATATTTAATATCATTGTATAATGTAAATTTACTTTTGAGTTTGTTATATTAAACTCAATTTTTTTTTATTTATACTACTAAACCCAAAAAAATCACACAGCACATGTTAGGCTACTCCTAATCCTTCCAACAAAGAAACTGCTTGGAAATCCTTTTTAATTTAAACTACTTTTCCTATGAGGATAATATGTTCCTTACGTTTTCGGGTTGTATAGATTAGTATAAATAAGGGACACTACTTGTTTTTCGTCTCATCTTTTGTTCTCTAATTCTCACTCACAACCGACAAATCAAAATACAAAAACACCAACTATAAATACAAAGGATGAATTCAATGTTCAGTTTATTTGATGGGGTCTGTGCTAGTTGCTTGAGCCTCAAGCGAGAGCGAGCTTCTTTGAGTTGTGCAACCAAAGAGAGTAACAATACGCAGGTGCAATCACAAGAGTATTTAAGTAATAGCCTTAACTTGAATAAGAAGCAAGAGGGTCACACATCATCGAAGACGAGTCGTGGGAAGCCCATGTTTTCATTGGAGTTGGTTGGATTGCATTGTTTTGAAACCCTCGTCTTCTATAAATAATTTAATTTGAATATGCGGTTCGTAATTCACTAAAAAATTACCTGAAAGGGGACAAATCTACCTTTTGTCCAACCCAATTGTACATTGTCCTGATTTAGTTTTAGTTTAATAATTTGTGGTTGAGTTGCTCTGAAGAACCTGTTCATTCAATTAAGCAAAGATTAAATTGAATTATCTTAGTAACTTTATATGAATTTATCTTAATGAAGTTATGAAAGTTTTCTTAATAGAGGACCCGGATTAGAAGGTGGAACAGACAATAATTGAAGTTGTTGATGCTTGATTTTGACACTAACGATTCGCACGTGTAAAGTGTTAAGCTGACTTAGAAATTATACATGAATAAGAAATGCAATGAAGTAAACAGAAGATGATTTTTAAAGTGGTTCGAATGCTTAAAGCGAATCTTACATCCATTGTTCATTTATTATTCTCTGACTATTTTTATGATATTACCTATAAGGCATACAAAGAATGGAGAAATGCTTTGTTTACAGAGAAAAAATAATAAAGCTCAAATGTTTGCCTAGCTCTCATATGTCCAGCCTCTCTTTTTTACGAAGAGAGGTGCACATTTATACACCTTTGAGGTCAATGTAATTAGTGCTTTTGCAATATAAAATATCTCTTGGAGGCGGTTTGGGTTGATTACAGGTAATACCACCTTATCCTTAAGTGCTTGTTGACTCTGATTGGTGATGTTGACATCAGCGTGTATTTTTGGCACAATCGAAACAAGCCAAACAACCCCCCCCCCCCCCCCCCGGGTTTTTGGAGTGCATAATTTCACTTCAAAAACTCATGTGTTAGATCTGAATGGTTGCCGCACTATAAGCTGCAGTCTTAAATTGAAGAGTTCGAACTATGTCTGGCGTGATTAGGTGTTAAGAGCTAGGACTACGATCTGAGCGCTTGGAGCGATCCAAAGCTGAGTGCGATCTGACTTAGAGGCCTTAAACGGACAAGCCAACTTAAAATAGCCATAACTTTTGATTCGGGAAGAGTTTTGGAACCCACCCGTAAGATATCCACGGAAGCGCATTCCGAGCTCTACATGTGGCAATCAATAACTTAGTTGGGGCCATTTTCGAGGTTAAAATCCTCTGTTTCAACATGTTTTGGGGCTGTTTTGAGTTTTTTATGCGTTTTTTTTTTTACACTGGCAGCTAGTCGCAAGTTTGAGAACTAAGAACTAATCACGAGCTGAGAGTTAAGAACACGACCTGAGGCTACTCGCAATCTCTAAGCTAAGAGTTGATCGCGATTTGAGAGTTAGAAGCTGATCACGATCTGATAGCGACGTGCAATTTGAACGATTTGATGCATGCGATCTCAAGCAAACGAGCAAGCTTATAAGCCTAATCAAATAGCATAAGGAGCTCGATCTAAGAGCATAAAGAGCTCGATCTAAGATTATAAAGAGCTTGATCAAAGAGCATAAGGAGCTTGATCAGAGAGCATAAGGAGCTCAATCAGAAAGTATAAAGAGCTTGACTTGAGAACTCAAGAGCTCTTTGCTATCTAAAAGCACAAGGAGTTCATTCAGAAAGTGCAAAGCTTGATATGAGAACAGAAGAAGTCCGATCAGAATGTGCGAAGCTTGATCTGAGCACACAAGGAGTTCGATCAGAAAGCGTGAAGCTTGATATGAGAACATAAGAAGTTCAATCAGAAAACGCGAAGCCTGATCTGAGAACTCGAGATCAACGATCTAAGTGCTCAGAAGCACGATCTAAATGATCTAAACGCATGAACTCAACAATCTTGAATGCGCGATCTACAATCTAGCCACATGATCTAAATGATCTAAACGCGTGATCTCAACGATCTTGAACGCATGATCTGGATGATCTGAGCATGTGATCTGCGATCTGGCCACACGATCTAAATGATTTGAACATGTGAACTCAATAATCTTGAACGCGCGATCTTAGAGCTCTGATGGGTGCGATCTATGATCTGAGAGCTTTGACACGTGCGATCTGCGATCTAGCGATGAATATGAAGCTAAAGATCAGCGATCTAAAGCTGAAGATCAAAGCGATTTGAGCGTATGATCTTCGATCTGAAGATGAAGATTAGAATGATCTGAGCATGCAATCTTCGATCTGACTAAGCGATCTGAAGCTAAAGATCAGCGATATGAAGCTGAAGATCATAGCGATCTCAGTGTGCGATCTTCGATCTGACCATGCGATCTGAAGCTAAAGATCAGCGACCTGAAGCTGAAGATCAAAGTGACATGAGCGTACGATCTGCAATCCGACCATGCGATTAGAGAGCTCTGATGTGTGCGATCTGCGATCTAACCACGCGATCCTTGAGCTCTGATGCGTGCGATTTGCGATCTGACCCGAGAGCTCTGGTGCGTGCAATTTGCGATTTGACCATGCGATATGAAGTTAAAGATCAACGATCTGAAGCTGAAGATCAGAGCGATCTAAACGTGTGATCTGCAATCTAACAATGCGATCTAAGAGCTCTGATACGTGTGATCTGCAATCTGACCACACGATCCGAAAGCTTTGATCTAGAGCAGGCTTCAGTATTTCGACAATAACTTGAGCTGTAGACCTCGGATTTGAATGATTCTGGAGCATCGAAAAGCTAACTCGAAAGGCTACAACTCTTATGTTTATCACATCGCCAGATTCAGACTTTATCCTGTTCAAGTCTCCACATCAGATGATGTGAAGATTTTGAGGCTTGCTAGAAAATAATGGAGAGCTGATGTGAATCATGCCCTCCTTCTAGCACCAAACTGTTGATGTTTGATTTTAACACCAACAATTCGCACATGTAAAGTGCTAAGCTGACTTAGAAATTACAGGTGAATGAGAAATGCAATGAAGTAAATGGAAGATGATTTTTAAAGTGATTCAAATGCTTAAAACGAATCCTACGTCCACTGTTATTTTATTGTTCTCTGGCTATTTTTCTGAGTACAAAAATGGAGAAATGCTTTCTTTACAGAGAAAAAATGATAAAGCTCAAATCTAGCTCTCATATGCCCAATCAACCCCTTTTTCACGAAGAGAGGTGTCCATTTATACGCCTTTAATGTCAATGTGATAAGTGTTTTTGCAAGTTATCTTAACACGTGAGAACTCCTCCTTAATCCTTATCTTAAAATAAGATAGGATTGATATAACATATCTCTTGGAGGTGATTTAGGTTAATGACAGCTAATATCACCTTATTTTTAAGTATTTGTTGAACTTTCTGATTGGTGGTACTGATATCAGTGTGTAATTTTGACACAACAAAGTGTATGTTATATATATTTATATTAACGAATAAGATTTAATGGAAAGTGAAAGGGAAAAAGGAGTAGGGCTAGCTAATCACAGTTTGGCTCCCACGACAAGAATCTTTTCTTAGCTAATCGAAGACCATTAATTGACCATCGTCACTTTTTTAGCACACAATTGCTGTTCTTGTCTTGGTCGTGGCTTTTCGACTTTAGTCAAATTAAATTTGATAACTTCTTTGGCATCTATGCAATTAAAATCCCATGTTGGAATAACAAATCCCTTAAAATAATACCAAATAAATACAATAGCGAGGGGCCATCCTCACTTCCTCTCCTTGTTTAATCGGACGAGTAAAGAAATAACTTGAAAGCTGATTCTTCCATTAATTTTCTACACAAAAACAAACATAGAGTAGCTTTCATAATAGATTTGGCATAATGTTTTTTAACTTCGCTTGTTTACTTTACCTTATGTTAGAATTAATTCTTACTTTATTATATATAATAATAATATTTTCCATAATATTTTTATATAATAATAATAATAATAACATTTTCCTTAATATTTTTTTATGTCTCC